TTGTTTGAAGCCAGGTAGTAATTTATATGCATAATGTGAATTTTAATTTACAAATTCGGCAATCTATTTTAAACCTATGTACATACCTGGCTTTTTGGACGACTTCTTTAAATGGCATGCTGTAAATCGTAATAATGAAGTTATTACAAATGACATTAGAATATCATCACTCCATCAAACTAAATGATTGGCTTACATGTGCTGTGCAGCAGCACATATAAGCCAATCATTTACTAAGGAAGAATGAATTTTTGTGATATTTACCAATTTACGATAAATTCTAAATGTGAAATTGTTGTGTTGGGGTCGGTTAGAGAGGGAGTTAATTAATACATGATCTACATGCTGTATAAACTGCATTCTTGATATATATATTTATATAAACCTCCTAACTTCATTAAGAAGATAACCCTAATTAAATTTCACTCCGCTTTAACCTCTAAAATTTTATGTTACATAAAACAGGTAATGATTATGAGAAAAAATGTGCACCAATTAGCTTTAAGATTTTGCCTTCGTTTTAGATACCAGTAAAACCATATACTAATATTCCTGGTATGAGACACTTTAAGAACAGTTAACCCAGTGATCGACAATCATTTGAAAACATATCATGACATCATTTGTTTACCAGAATTAAATAAACTGGCCTAAACTATATACTAAATTAACTCTAAACTAACCCTAACCTAACCCTAACTTAGGCCAAATGATGGTCATGTGATGTTGTGATGATCACTGGGTTAACTCTTCTTAAATCTTCCCTGTTCTTTTTCTCAAATATTAAAAATGGAAATATTACATGCCTGATCAAAGTACATTATTACAAAAAAAGGGTGTTTAGGTTAAGAAAAGGTATTGCTAGTGGAAATTAAATTAAAATGCAAACAAAATAAAAAATACGTCAATGATATCTAAAGTAGAGCTCATGACACGTAAAGTTTAAACCTCATGCGATTGTGATGCAAAAAGCACTTTTGACTTTACTTACAATATCAAGCATTAATATGTGTACAAAGGTTTCTGCAAAGTTTGCATATATGCATGTATTTATCAAATAATTTAATGTAGTCTCCCCAAGCAGAGGTCTTTTTCGATTTTTAACAGCTGCCCTCGTCAAAAGTAGCCCGGATTTGCATGAGGAGAGCATCATCCTGCGTTGCGAATACAATGTAAAACTTCCAATTATATAACATAGTTAGCAATTCTACTTTGTGTTCGCAAAGCAGGAAGATGCTCTCCTCATGTAAATCTGGACTAAAACAAGGTAGGGAAGCTGCTAAAAATTGAACAAGACCTCTGCTGTCTTCTCATACATATATCAAATTTGGATGAAATCTTCTCTCATGCTAATTTTTAAAGTAATTCTATATTTACGTTTTGGGGTAACTTTTTTTTTTTTTTTTTTTATTGTCAAGTCAAAAATTCAAATTTTATAAGTTTAAAAATCTTATAAATATAATTCTTCCATATGTTTTTTTTTTTTTTTTTGCCATTCGCAAACTTTACAATTCCAAAACTTATATTGGATAATATCTTATATCGATATGATATAATGGCAGCTACTATACCAGAATCATCAACAAGCAAGAACCTAAATACAAAAAATGCACTTCTTTTTAATGAATTCATTAATATCAATAAGTTCGGATATAAAAGTGCAGATGATGAGGATACATTTGGTGATGAAACTATGAGTTACAGGTCTGGAAGTTGTGATGGAAGTAATAATCATAATTTTGACAATATTGATATGTTTACCTTGGATAAAATGAGCTTTGAAAGAGCCAGAATTTTTGCTGAGAATAAAGAGATTTGTTATAATACTTTTTTGGAGAAAGATGATGAATTTGAAGTAGATTCGGAATTTTCAACAGAGCTAGAATTAACATCGACCTTAACATGTAATGAAAGTATAGAATTGGAAGATGATAATAGCAGTAACATATGACACCTATCACCTTGTATGATTTTGGATTTTATTAATGGTCAATTTCAACAATGCTGCGACATAGGATTAAATCAA